GCAATCCACCAAACAAGCCCAAACTCAAAAGGTGACAACATGCTTTCATTCCAAGGGTTAGATCTCATGCATGGACACAAATGAGTCCTAAAGGTTGAAACTTTACTGCTTATGGGACTCATATGACACTAAGGGTGGCAACCCTAGACTTAGAATACGAGTTGCGACATAAAGGTCAAATCTTGGAACCAAAAGACCCAAAACTTCCATTAACATAGATCTAAGAATACTTAAGGAAAGTTTCAGACTTGATACCTCACAATGGTCCGAAATGGAACCAAAATCTCAGATCTACAGCTTCCCTTTCGATCCACCACCTTGCTAATATCTTCTCTTGTTTTGAAATGGCATTACAAATGCCCTAAAATTAGGGTTTTTGGACACTGAGCATACGTTGGGCATACATCCACCACCTTTCATACGTTGGGCGTACCCACACGCCTCCTACTTTCCATGCATGGCCCTTCTTTGCCAACTTTTCCATTAAGTGGCCATAAATGACAACAACTTCAAAATCTTATAACTCCTTCATCCTAAGTTAGTTTCTGACAAACTTTATATCTACGAAAAGGTGGCGAGAAGCCCTACGCTTCTAGCAACACACCACGGCCCGAAGCCTTATTAAATAAAACTCAAAGTCCATAATTGACCAGAACGCCCCTAGCCTTGGCTTCTAAAACCCCTATGAATATTTTAGAACAGGGCGTTACAAGAACACTATAATGATATGTCACTACTAGAAAAAAGGCCTTTTACGACGCTCATTGCGAGTCGTAAAACGCTCAGACGACGTGTAAATGCGCGTCAAGGAAGGCCCTGTCAAAACGAGAGACGACGCGCAATGCGTAGCATTAAAGCCACTGTCAAGAAGGTCATGTCATAAATGAAGATGACACACATTTTTGTGTATCGTAATTTTTATTTTTTGTTAAAAAAAAGTTTATTTATAGATTTACTAATTTTCAAATTAAATTTGCATATAATGTCTCATAATAGAAAATAAAATACCATATACAAAAAATACAATCCATTGCACAAAAGTTAATATCATACAAAATACAAAATAAAATACAATAAATAAGAAAGATAATTCATTGTACTAAAATGTCAAATACAAATAATCATCGCTAACTATATAACCTAATACTACATTCCTATTAAGGGACATCCTCATAACTCACTAAAGGTCTTGTAACAATGTTCTCGTCATCAACTGTTACACCAACCTTGCTTTAGTAGATGACTTTCACACAATCAATTTCAAACAATTATACAAATAATCATACGAGGCATACAAGATATCAGAAATTTATAAGATTATCCAACCAAAATAAAATAACATAAAAAAACATACCTGTTATATGACAGTGGTAGCGGGATTTCTCCGGGTTGGCTTCAATGGTGGTCTTCCGGTGGTGGCTGGTGGTCATCGAAAAACAGCACATCATTAAAAAAAAACAAATCAAAGCATCGATGCTTCTGTTATTAAGAGGTTTTCCATAACTATGTAACCTAATACTAAATTGCTATTAAGGGAAACCTTCTTGCTTCTGTTATTAAGAGGTTTTCCCTAACTTCTTATTGTTATGCTTCTGTTTCTACTTTGAGTTTATTACAACTTTCAGTTCTTAATTGCTCAAGACTTGTCTCATTTACTGGTCCTCATTGTTGGATTCAAGCAGCAATATTAACCTTTCAACTATTGAAGAATCTGGAAAAGACATGATAGATGCAATCACCCTGCAATATATTCATCATAAATCAAATAACAGAATTAAGTTGTTGAAGAAAAATTGACCATATTTGATATTCCTATGTGTATGACATAGTCCAATAAGAAAAAAAAATAGAAAACTGATTCTAAATGCTTTTTAAGCTTAAAGAAAGTTAAATTTAAATGTAGAAAGTTGGTGAATCATACTATTAAGTTCAGAAACTCAAATTGCAGCTCGTTTTCCTGAGTTTCCCACATATCTCTGTTTGAATTGCATTATAGGTATATGGGAATTTAGGATAATTTTCAGAAATGTCAAATTGATACAAATTAAATCTTATACCTTGATCTCATTAAATTAAGAGGAAATATCTAAATAAAACCCCTGCAAAACATGGAAAGATGTTTCACAATCTTAATAAACCCCATCTCCTAAATAACAGAAAAAGCAAACAAATATAGATCAAAACCTAATAAATTTATAAATAAACCTTTAAAAACTATAAAATAACACAAAGGTAACGCAATAAATTTCAATTTTTAAGTCAACAAAAATAAAATCACACCTTGATGATCTCTACAAGCCGGTCAACAACATTTTCTCCTGGAAATAGAGGCTAAAAATGCGAAAAATGTCAAAATTAATATGTGAAGATGTACAATAATATTTTTCTTCCTTTTCAGATGGAAAATTTTATAAGATTTGTTATTTTTTTTTTTTAATGTAAACCTGTCCGAGAAGAAGTTCAGCAAGAATGCAACCAGCTGAGCAAATATCAATGGAAGTTGTGTATTCAGTAGCACCATAAGAAACACCAACATACTCTCACTAATTTGTTTACTATAGCCTACAACATTTTAACTTTGGAAAGAAAAACACACCATTGAACTTATACGTTGGTTTTGCTTTAGTGGCTTTCAAAATAATAAAAGTGAACTAAAGGGCATAATGGTAATTTTAACATTTCAAAAGTGAATTGAAAGGGATTAGAACATACTAGCATTTTTGCACTTCCGAAATCACAAATCTTGACTTGATGAGTAAAAGGGTCAACCTGAAAAAACATAACAAAATTAACCCTAAAACATCAAATCAAATATAACCAAAAAGAGAACTTTCACAAGACAAATTCAGACAACATAACATTTTGAGGCTTCAAGTCTCGATGGCATACTCCAGCAACACAAGCCCCCTAAATATCTAAAATAAAACATTCACTATCAATCACCAAATTTTGACGAATAAAGATTATTTACAAATGTACTCACTACTCGTTCCCAGTAAAGCACTCTTGTCATTTCAATAGTCACACAATAGGGGTTCATAGCACAATAGAAAGAGAAAGCAGCATGAGCATTGAAGGCATGTACCTGATACTAGATTCATGGTTCATGAATAAGACCACCTAGTTCACGAGGGAATACGGATATGATATAAGGTATATTTTTTGCAAACAAAACAGAGTTTCCTCTCATGTAAACTGAACATCAATAGAAAGATAGAAAAGGTATTCTAACTCAGCAAACCTGTATGATCAGAAAAAGCTTGCTAAAGATGGGTTAATCGGCTGTCTAGCAACCAGATGCAATACGTGACCATCTTCCACATCTATGATTCATACTCATTAAGGAGCTTCAGCATCCATCAATATTCAATAATGAAACTAAAAGAAAACCCTTTCAGGCAAACAAATAAATGTAAGATATGGAAAAGGATACGATAAGCTGAAAGGAGCTGATCAACTTTCAGAACTTTGCCACGACAGATTAAACGTTGCTGTTCAGATAATACACCAGTAACAGTAACAGAAGCAATCTGTTCCTTTAGTGCAGGAACAGGTACCTATAAGAACAGAAGCAATCTCTACTTTTGAGAACCTAAAAGAAAAGAATGATAATTTTTTTTATAAAACTCGCAAGGAATAAATATAAAATCCACTAAATCAGTATCTAAACAACAAACTTATGGTAATTTGCAAAGAATAACAACAGAATGAAAGTAGATTGTTATTTCTTGCATTTAGCCCCAATTGTGCTAAATTCAAGAAAGGGTAATCTCGCACAGGACTTACTGAAGGCAGCATAAAACCACACAGATAAATTTACATTAATGGTTATTTTTTTCCATTTAAAATGTAAAGTCATCACCTCATCAGGTAGGCTCCAACTTGACCTTGTAATGAAGCAAAAGTATTGCAAGCTCTTCTTTCCCTAAGTCCAGCAAACTGTAACTTTAATCCTTAATTTTCTTTTGCTACTATAAGGTAATTACAACTGACATGAAATTAGAAGTACATGCACCTTAACAAACTTGGTTGGTAGCACCATATATATATTGGAAGTGTCAACCTCGTTTAGGTAAGCTTTGATTTCGAGAATGACAGGTCTGGTTGCAGCAGTTGCATGCACATTCTTGACCTTGACTGTATGTATGAATATTGGAACCAACATCATTATAGCATTATACATTCATTAATAAAAAGCTATAGTATGATCAAATGAAAGTAGAATGTGTTATAAAAAATAAGAATGAAAAATCCTTTCTTTGGTTATCAAGTAGAGAGACTTGTTATATATGAGATGCTGAATTCAAGCTATAAAGTAAAATGATTTGGTCATAATTAACAAAAATCATTAAAAAAACATACTTCCATATGGTTCCAGCTGTTAGAGTCAATCCAGCTGGGTAAATTGTTCCACCAATGACTCGTCCAAGAGGATACTTTAATCAAGTAAGAAATATGGAGCCATGCTAGTTTTATTCACCAATAAACTAAATAAGAGAGAAAAAAAAAACATCAAACCAATTTTTGTTATCCAGTCAAAAACATATCTCAACAATAGTGTTTTAAAAACGATGGGATGGCGAAGTGATTCATGTCTAAAAATTAACAGGTACATATACAAAATAAAAAACAAAAATCAAATAAATTGAAATGAGATTGTAGAATTACCAGAAAAAGGAACAAATTAGAGCATTGATTTATAGAAATTGGTTTCCCCTTCACCTCTTCGACAATCTTCATTTGGTGGAGGAGAGGGACGAGAGAAACCTTGGTGAAGGGGGAGAGACGAGAACATGAAGGCATCAATTAGGTCTGCAATCAAGAGGAGTCGCAGTCATCGATCGATTCAACAATTGAGAGATGTCGCAGTCGTCGATCGACTCAGCGTGAGGATGTGGCAGAAATCAAACTCCGTTGTGATAATGTGGGAGAAAACGAACTTAGACATGGTGAGGTGAGTTAATATCGGCTGTCGCATAGTAAAGCAATCGCCTTGTATTTGAATAGGGTTCTTGAAAAAAGCCCTAGTCTGGTCCATGTTATAAGAACGCGCATTTGAAAATAATCACCTCTTCTTAATTAAGACAGGGACATGGTGGAAGATAAACACCAACGCCGGCAGACAAGAGAGCACACATCCATGCCTGACACTGAATCAAGGTTGCTGAAGATTCTAGGATCACTCATCTTGTAACATTGAAGTTTAGGATAAATATCACCAATTGCCCGTGAAACGAGACTGAAGAATTTTAGGATAAACAAAGGGGGTGAGAAGGAGATGAATGAACCCTAAAGGGGTGTTTAATTTTTTGGGATTTCATTCTCCCCCCCCCCCCCACCCCAAAAAAAAAAAAAAAAAAACGGAGAACGCGCCTTCCTAAAAAAATATAAAGCGACACCTTTACACGACACGCCTTTTATGATAGGTGCGTTCGAAATGTGTGTCTTCTATCCTTCAAATTTTGGAATACTGACATTAATTTTTAGGGCATGCACAAATGCGCGTCCTCTATCAGTGTGTATCATTAATTACGCGTCGTAAAAGGCAATTTTTCTTGTAGTGTGTTAATTATAGTTTGATATGTTGGTATTTTTTTTGGTAATTTTTGGAAAGTACAATGCTATTATGTTATATATGTTGGTAATATATTTCACTTTTTTATAGTTGGAATTGTTGCAAACAATACTAGATGACCTGACCTGTTCTGCCGCACTAGAAGACTAATATAGCTCATTCCCGCCACGAAATGATAACGAAGGAAATGATCGGAGTGATGAGGACAATTAGCCACTTTGTAAGGATCTTATGAAATGTTTTGTTTGAGTTAATATTTTCGATATATTGTACTTTATTTTGATAAATGTTTGGTTTGGATGAATATTTGGACTATTTGTGTATGGACTAATATTTCAGCAAACTTAAGTTTCGTAGCACTTTGTATGTATGTTATAGCAATTTTTATAATTTTAATGACACATTAAAAAAAACGAAATGTAAAATGTGTTAGCTGCGACACTGTGACATCCCCATTTTCACGGCCAGAAAAGACCGATTTGTTTATGCTTAATTTTGAAAATCAGAGTAACCTTTTAAAGAAATGTTTTGCAGAATTTGTTTCCAAAAAAACATGATAAATACGTTATCAATCATTTCTGAAGAAATTTATTTTATTCATTTTTAAAACATTGTGATGTCATCGCTAATACAGAAACATAAGCATAAACAGAACTTACATTCATTATCACTAGTGATTTACATGTCCTTAATCTCTCAATGTAGTGTAACTTCATATCAATACCTGTGATACAAATAAACTGAGTGGGTCAGGTTGGAACACCTGGTGAATACATAAGGTTTTCAACCCACAATAATTTAATTATTATGTTTAATCATCAAACAATTAACCTAATTACCCATCACTATTATCTTAATTACTCTTAAGGATCTACCCTAAGAATCAGCTATTCCTTGTTCATTCATTCCTAAGGATCATCCTATGGAATAAGCACGAAATCCATCGTTGCCAGGGTTTACTCAACAAGAACTAAATCCATAGTTGCCAGGGTTTAGGCACTAAGTCTGCATAGTCACTAGGGTTTATCTCGTTTATTGATAATATCGTTTTTGAGATTCCACTCGTAATACATATCAATGGGTTTTTAGAGTTCGATGGGTGAACATCTCGTTCACAACACCTATAGGTTGCAAGCCTGCTAGTGTTCCACTAGATTGTCTAGAATAGTCCGTGGTTGTCATCCATACTCTGCTAGATGACAGGGTCATCGCTTGTGTAAAAGGCTTCTCTCATTTTTCACCCCTCACCCTTATCTCATGGTCTATATTACCTCTCATCTCATCATCCAACTCAAATTTCATCTACCCATGTTTTACCCAACATATTTTGTAGATATAGATACATATATAGTTTAAATCATTTAAGACTTGTATAAAATCGTTCATCCAACATAGATAGCAAGTATACAGATAATATGCACACATAGCAAGTGGTTTATATAAAATACTTCATATCTATGTGTAAGATGAAAGTAACCATGCACTCACTTGATAAGGTGGTGACTTGGCACTCGGATAACACTTCGTTACTCTTAACACAATCTTCATTTGATAAAACCTAGCATTATTACCACTAGAGTTTAGTCTAATATTCACCGAAATTAATTAATAATTTTGCTATTATTACTATTATATAAGCACGAAACAATATTTTTCAACCACTATACACAGAAAGGGACCAGACATAAAATATCGGAGGGTAGGACCATTTTGGCATATAGCACTTCTGAAATCCAACAACCCTATGCAGCCCTTTAAACCAGATTCTCCGTACCGTGAGTGGTTAAAAAGATATTATAATGACATTTATATAACTCATAATAATAGCCCAAATAGTTATTATAAGGTCCTAATAACATTACTATATTTAAACATAAGATATACTAACGATAAGATAGGCATAGCTCACTTATAGCCGGTTTTCTCAAAAACCGGGCTTAAATGGACCAGTGTTCCCGAGCCGAGAAGCTCTTTTTCTCGTGGATTCCTTCGGATGCTAGGGGGTTTATCTAGACTTTAGGGGGCTTAAGGGAGGTTAGAAAGAGAAAGTAGATAGAGAAAGTGAAGTTGGGAGGTGTGAAGAAATGGCAATACTCGGCACCGTTATTTATAGGCTGCCAGATAGCTAGACTCACCGAGTTGGATCACTGAATCACCGAGTCAGTGCCATGTGCCATCATCTGATGGCTTTTCTTGGGGAGAAAGCAACGGCTGTGATCGCGCCACGTCACCCAAACTCGCACAGCACCCTCCCAACTAAGAAAAATCATAACTATTGCATACGAGCTCCGTTTTTTACAGTTCTTTGTATCCACGCGTAGGTAAAAACAAGATCTATAACATTCATTTAGACACCATCAGCTAAATCTTGATCAATCTTAAATTCAACTGTAAGAGGAGATTATATTGTTAAATGTTCGCGTAAAATTCATAACTTCTATATACAGACTCCATTTTCGTCTGTATTTTTATCCTTGAGTTCCTATTAATGAGATATTAAACTCTCATTTAGGTTACGTAGGCCAAAAACCTCTCAAACTAAAATTCGAGTTTCGGACTGTGCACTACTAAGTCAAATCTTAGAAAAATCATAACTTCCTCATACGAATGTAGATTTGGGCGTTCTTTTTATGCACACTCTCGGTTTAATTTATACTACAACTTTCATTTAGATATCTAAGGGTAAAAAGTAGTTTATCAAAAAATCATTTTTGTACGATTCTCGGTGCCGTGGCGGTTTTGCCGTAAAACTTCGACAGGTCATAACTTCTTCGTTATAACTCGGATTTCGGCATTCTTTATATGTACGGAACCCTTTTGACATATACTATAGCTTGGTTAAGATTATTCATTATAAATAATCATCTATTAAAAAGTTATTTTTGACGCTTATCGTCTCTAAATTTACTAGTCCGGATCTACGGGCGTTACAGACGCCTTTAGCGGTGACACAAACGTATTAGTGGCAACACATGTACTCTTTAGCGGCGACCCTTGTCACCACTAATGCTCACATTTCTTGTAGTGTATGATATATATATATATATATATATATATATATATATATATATATATATATATATATATATATATATATATATACCGATGGTTTTGAGGGTTTCTGAATGAATCCAAATGAACATGAGACCAAATGAACATGGTGATGTGTTTTATATGACTTTCTCTGGGTTTATGATTAGTTTTGTGAAGGATATCAAGTGTAGGCTTGAGGAAGAAAAGATGATTATGGAACTTATGAAAAACACAACAGTTTCTTTTCATGAACTCACCACAAAAGATGAGAAAGAAGACGGTCTGCTATCATATGTTGACTAAAATATCATGTTGACAGTGGAAATGAAAGATGATTCACACCACAAGACACAAGCAGATAATGAATGGCAATAAAAAAAACTTAGAAAGATGATGGGAGAAGTGAAATTCCAATAATACCTCTGTTGGTTTAATTGGTAAAAGTCTAGATTAAGGGGGAATATTGGAAATGTAATCTAGACTATGAAAAGATTATGATATATATATATATATATATATATATATATATATATATATATATATATATATATATATATATATACACACTGATGGTTTTAAGGGTTACTGAATAAAACCGAATGAACATGATGATGTGTTTTGTATGACTTTCTCTAGGTTTGTGGTTAATTTTGTGAAGGATATGAAGTGTAGGCTTGAGGAAGAAAAGATGATTATGGAACTTATGAAAAACACAACAGTTTCTTTCCACGAACTAGCAACAAAAGACGAGAAGGAAGACAGCCTGCTATCGTATGTTGACTGCAATCGTATGTTGATAGTGGAAATGAAAGATGATTCACACCACAAGACACAAGCAGATGATGACTGGCAACAAAAAATTGAGAGAGATGATGGGAGAAGTGATATTCCAGAAATACCCTTATTGGTTCACTACTATAAAAAAGAGCATTACCGACGCCGAAACCGTCGGTAATCCGTCGCTAATACTCTTTACCACGGAATTGTAACAAACCAAAATCCGTCGGTATATTCTTGTCGCTAATTGTTTTTAACGGATTTTCAACGGCTACAACAAAATTTTAGTGACAGATTTTTCTGTCGGTAATTAGTAACGGATACAAGTTGGGGCTAGGCCACTTGGCTAACAAGATGTCTAACTAAGAGTTTCTAACCAGGAGGTCTTGGATTCAATCCCAAACAAATACTAACATGGCCATTTAAAAAAAAAAAAAAAAATTAGTAACGGATCACCGATGGAAATATTTTGCAACAGATTACAAACGGAATAACTTACTATAAGATTACCGACAGAAACTCTGAATAGTTTAGTAACAGATTACCGACAGTTTTTTTTTTTTTTTTTTTTTTTGACAGATTAGCGACGGATATTGGCATTATGAAAAACATTATGAATTCATGAAAAAAAATTAAAAATAATTACATATTCAACACAGAATTTTTTTTAAACATACATCTATATTTTAAAACCACCAAATATAGAAGTAAAAAGGTTTTTTAAATATAAATAATAGGTAGTTCTAAACAACTCTCATGCACAAAAATGTAATAAAAAAACACAAATATCAGAAAAATCTAATAGAAACTTTTTAAACACAAATAATAGGTAAATATAAACCAGTGTAAGATAAGATTCAGTTCCTGCCTTGTCTGAAAATGGATGCCCAAAAACACCTGTATAAAAGTAAAACTTAAAATTTATATCCTATTTACATGAAAGGTAAACATCACTGATTAAAATATTTGAGAAGAGTATGATGTATTTAAAAGTAGTAGCATCAATTGGACCAATACCATTTTATTCTTCAATGTTCTTGTAAACCAAAGGGGGTAAATTAAATGATTCAAAAGAACTTAAAGTTTAATGCTATAATTGGGTTTTTTTCACATAGAAAGAAAGTACAAACGCTATAATTGGGTATCTACACCCACTACTATATATAAATGTATCAGATAAACCAACCATGAACCCTAGTTTCACACGTCTTTCAAAAAATTCAAGGTCAAACAGGCTCAATTTTCCAATTTTAGATATAATGTTAAAGGGAGAAACAATATACCTTTGAGGCCGATCTCAACATACATACTACACCAACAATATTACCATCTTTCCTAAAAAGAATACCAAATGATAACTCGTGTAAGAATTAGTAGAACGATAAGTGGATTAAATCTAAAAAGTTATCATTCAATCTATAACCACTCAAAAGTTATCATTCAAAAGTGGATTAAAATCTAAAACGTCAAAAAAAAAATCAGTAATCAATTGAAAGTTATCATCATATCTAAAATTTTAACCAACAATGTGACTCACACTCACCTTGAATAAAGACCTGAATCAAAAGGATCCTTGAGAGGAAATATGATCCATATTAAGCCCTTGTACAAAAAAAAAAAAAAACCCCATTTTGATGATGAATTGATACCTAAAAATCATAATTAAAACTATAAATATCAAAACACAATCTAAAGCTTGTGCACCTGAAATCGATGAGATAGAACATGCAAAGTTGGAACTTGTGCAGGTTTAGTCGGTGATAAGAAAAATGAAGGTTGTTACAATGTCTAACTGATAAAAAACGATAAACATAAGGTTCCATTAGCAACACAATATCACTAAGAAAGGAATCAAAATAAACATCTTCCTCTTCATCAAGAATTGCAGGAGTAATCATGTTTAAACCAATCGATTACAACCATTGTTGTCCTTGCTTTTGGAAAAAAAAAAAAAAACCTCAAGTATTTGACATAATATCCCCCAACAATATCCAAATTATAATCCTAATGAAAAATAAAAAGGAAATATGTAAAAAATCACGAATCATGTAAAATTGTAAATAAACAAATAATGTACCTCTTAAAGCCATATGGTCCGTTTTTGGGTTCCGAGGAAGAGCAGAGATTAGGGTTATTTTACAGAGAGGTTAAAATAATAGTTTTTGTCTAAAAACTTAAAAGAAAAAAACATTTTCATCTAAAAAGGTTAAAAAAAAACATTAATTGATTTAGAACTTACCTTCTATCATCGGTCCAATCCCATGGATAATTTGCAACAAGAGCTCCCTGAGAAATAAGAAAATTTACACTCAGAAGGATATGTGCTCTATGTTCATTCACAGAAAAGCACTAAAAATAAATAAATTTGCAAAGAAATGAAGGCAAGTTTCAGATTGATTACCCCATGAAGATTAGCAGAAGCTGTGGAATGTTTCTGGTTGTCATTCATCTAAATCATCATTCATTGGAAAGAACTACACTAACACCATGTGACATCAATCCATTTTGCTTTTAACAATTAGTTACATCAATTAAATAAGAAAGGAATTAAATGCAAGAAAAGATATTATAATAATACAAACAGATTATGCAATTATACCACGCTTTCATATAATTGTCACACAGCCAATTTGATAAAAGTAAGAGAAGTTCACGCCCTAAAGGTTCATCTTCATGCACATTCCCAATAAACTGCAACATCCATCATAAAAACCAATCTATTTCAAAAAAAAAGTCATGCATTTTTGGACACAATATCACCTTGAAAGCAGGTTTGCCTCCTTCCCAGGACTATTAGAAACTTCCATCACCCACTGCATTAGATATAAAGGAAGAAAGTATGAGGATATATAATTTTGGGAATTATAAGAAAAATAACAAAAAGAATGATGAGGTATGAGTCAATATGTTACCAGTGGAACTCCCAAAACAGTTTTCCCAATATCAGTGTAGGATTAAAGGCCCTCACAGAGAGAACCAAAAACGAGTCAGTTAATGACACAAACATCAATTAAAGTTAAACAAGATTATATGTTTATTTGAACATAAATGACATTCATGAGGGCATTTAATAACACTTTATAATCACATCTTGAATCAAAATATAGACCAAACACTTCAGATTAAGATAATTTGAGAAAAGATAACACGGATGATGAAAAGATTAGAAATACAAAAATGAGCTACAATTTGATTGTTGATATTGAACTAGTATTTTACATTCCGAGAAAATGTACTTAATCTCGGTTTTTAGTCAACTTACAAACCAATTACCTTGATAGTGGCCTTAGTATCCTCTGGAATCTCCTGAATACGATACCCTCCTCTACCAATTCCCTTCCCAATCTACGTAAAACGGAAAAATAATCATGAAATCGAGGTCGAATGTTGTGAGGGGGTTTCATGTGTGCGATTTCGAACATAGTGCGAAAGAGTAAAAGGAAAGGGAAAAAACGATTTAGGTTAAGAAGCATACCTGGATCGTGAAGTCAAGGGAGGAAAGGAAAAGAAAGAAGAGAGGAGGTCGCGATGGTTGTCGATTGCAGAAGTGATCGGAGATGGTTGGCGATAGCATAAGTGAGCGGCGATGGTTTCACACTGGCAACTGGTAAGTGTGTTCGATGGTCGAAAAACGTATCTGGATCGTGAAGACCATCGTGAAGGCCAGAAGGGTTAAATAATTGGTTTCAAAATAGGGAATTGGATCGGGTTTTAAAATATGGTAGATTGGGTTAAATAGCTTGGGCCTTGGGGGTCAATAACCCGAACATAATAGTCATTCTAATTTCCGTTGCTAGTTCGTTGTTAAATTTCGTCTCGAAATCCACCGGAAAATTGTAATGACTTACCGATGGATGTTTATACTGTCGCTAAACCGTCGGATCTTTCTAATCGGGTTTTCTTAATCCGTTGGAAATCCGTCGGTAACCCGTTGTAATTTTCGACGGATTTTTTCCGTCGCTAATACCATTTTTTCTAGTAGTGGTTGAAGTGGTAAAAGTCTAGATTAAGGGGGGAATGTTGGAAATGTAATCTAGACTTAGGGATATTTTAGTAATTTTAAGAAGTAATGCAGTTAGGAGAGCAACTACAGTTGGGAAGAAAGTTACTATTAGAACCGTTATATATTGAGGTCAAAAGTCACATCGGTTCATTAACTGTTGTGATCGGTTCATTAACTATTGTGATTTTTACTACGCGTGTGTGTATATATATATATATATATATATAGAAATATATAGAAATATATATATATATATATATATATATATATATATATATATATATATATATATATATATATATATATATATATATTATTTGTAATTGTAACTGATGATGCTTGATTAATAAACGCTATATTTAGTGCACATATAAACATCTCTCCTCTCAGATACTTAATGTTCATGTTATTGCTTTAATTCAATGTTTCTTGGTCTTATATAATCCCAACAGTTAAAAGGTGTTGATAATTATACACTTTTTGAATGAGTCTTCTGACACAAATGTCTTAGAACAAGTGAAGAACTGGCATACAAAAATAAGCATGCGGTTGTCAAGCAACATAAAAAATGGCTCTTCACTTTGTTTTGATCCAGTTAAGCAAATCTTCCTCTAGCCACAAGGCAGATCATTATCCTTCCTTTCTTTTGGTCGCAGTAAGATCACGGCATCTAATGCTTAGATTTGTATGTACTGATCAATTGTACAACTCAAAAAAAAAATTCACAAAAAGACAAACAAGGCATGGCAAGAAAGGGAGAGTGGGTGAAATTCCACTACATCCACAAATCAAAACGTTTCCCCACTTTAGAACCATAAACCACATTCTTAACCACTTGATAGGCGAATAAATCATGGTTGGATGCGGTCGCGGTGTGCAAGACAAGGAAACAGAGATGCGCCCAGTGGGGACACTTTAAATCACTAATGCAGATCATAGTGCATGAATGAAAGGCGCCTCTTCACACACGATGATTCCTACATTTTTCAGGCTAAAGTGTATAATATGAAATAGGGTTTTGCAGCACGGCCTCCGGGCAAACATCCGGTTTCAAAGGCTTCTCCCTCGTATTGTCCTTTACAGTCTACCGTCTCATCGTCGGGGCCTTTTCTCACTAAAAATCAAATATATATATATATATATATATATATATATATATATATATATATATATATATATATATATATTAAAAATGCTACTTAACCTAAATCTAAACCTAACAACCTAAGTCTTCAATCTTGAACTTCTTTTATTTGGTCTTCGGTCTTCTTTTGATGCTTAACATTCAACTTTCTCATCGTTTTTTTTGGGAGAAGTCTTGAACTTAGAGTCTTGTTCTTCTTTTTGTGTTGCTCTTTTTCTTCATTTTTCTTCTTTATTTTGTTGATTTTCTTGAATCATCTTTTATCATATCTTATTGTCTTCCCTTTTTCCAAATTTTCTTCAATTTTTGTGTTTTCTTCTTGTCTTTCTTATTTGAAGGTCTAAGGATTTTCACCATGTAACATAGGACTCCAATAATGAAAATGGAGTAATAGATAGAGGCTTAATCATGAACACCTATTGATCATTAACAATGTGCCAAGATCACCTAAAAAGGGTGGGATATGACTCAAAAATGGGTGTTACCGAAAAAAAACTTGGTCCCAAAAGATGTGAATTGGGGGAACTACTTCAAAGTTCATCAAGCACCTCAATGCAAGGCGTGATAAACAAAAATCTATCTAACTATATACTCTAGATCCCTAGAAAAATGATGACCTATCTTAAAAAGGTGGTGAGAATCTAACTAAGTAAGGCTCAGACGAGACTCGGGAGTACTAAGGGGTACTCCCCCCAAAACCGAGATGCGAGTCTTCAATGTTTTCAAAATACCTTATCGGGCTAATCTTTGCTCGCACACATTGGCTTGACCAACCACATCCCTCCTCACGTAGACCCAATCAAGCTACCTGACCCCCACACAAGCTGTCTCAAAAGTGGTCTGTGAGGCTCAAAACGTGTCCCATTTATCAAATACAAGGTATTCCATATCAAGACCTGGGACCAATCTATGATTCAATACTTATGATTCGACGCTATGGTACCTGTAGGGATAAGAAGACAAGAGAAAACAAAAATGCATGAACTTAAATGCATCTAAAAAGTATGAAAATTAGAAAAGAAAGAAATAAAATATGCAATATTTTTTAATTTTTTATGCAATTTTTTTTGATGAATGACCTAAATGACTTACTCTAAATGCAACAATATACAACCTAAATGCAATTAAAAATAAAATATAAGAATACCTCACCCCAATCCTAAAATGAAGCATTATCCTCAATGCTTAGGATAAGAGTAAGGAAGGATTGTACCGGGATCAAGGTGGAGGAGGCTCGCTAGGACGGTATGGAAGCAACACATGGGTCACATAATGATGCTTGGATGGAGTTCTTAGCTGCCTAAATACACATGGATGAAAGCTTGGTCGCGTAAAGGAGCATATGAAATGGCTCAAAATTTTCTTATGAAATGGCATATTTGCGCGGGTACCCTCGCAAACTTTGTGCGGGTGATGTTTGGGTCGCGCAAATAAAGAATTAGCATCATTGGTCTCGCAAAGAAGAGGAAGGATTTGGTCATGGTCGCGCGAAAATCTACAAGGGTGAAAGGCAGTCGCGCAAGTAGGTTGCGAGGGTGTCAGTCAATCGCGTAAACATTTGCGCGGGTGAGAAACCGGCCACGCGCAACAATCAGATTGCAACTCGTGTTGGGGGAGTTTTGGAGCACGGATTTGCACGGCTGGGGCTCGGCCACGCAACGGCTGTGCGGGTACCCACGCAAGTTGCAGATTTTAGGCATTTTTTGCATACTTTACCAAGATCATTGCTAAACTTCATGATGCTTATTTTACCGAATTAAAGCATAGAAACATCCAAATTTCAAGCAGATTTTGTTTATTATGCATTTATTTAACGTTTTTGCCAAGACTTAGTCCCGCTTCATTTAATCTTTGTAAATCGGTGTTTCCAATGCTACGTTGTCGAATTCTCCCATGTCAAAGCCTTCATAAAATAGTATCAAATGGTGCCCATTCACTTTGAAGATTTGGTTTGTTTCCAAACTCTTGATTTCAACCACACCATGATCAAACACTTTTATAACAATGAAAGGTCCATGCCATCGAAATCACAATTTTCTCGGGAATAGCTTTAAGCGTGAATGATAAAGAAGAACTTTTTGACTAGGAATAAAGTGTTTTTGGGTTATGTGCTTGTCATGAAATGCCTTTTTCTTCTCTTTGCACCTTTTGAACCTTTTAATTATCTTTTTCTTGATCACTTCCATCATTGGATGATTCAGTCTTCTTTGCGCTTCCCTCTTAGGCTTATAATCATCTTCCATGAGTATCTTGTCTGTACATACATTAGGGCTTATCTCGTTTATTAGCTCAATCACATCAACCCGATACAATGAAGAAATGTTGCTAGGGTACCTCATTGCTTCAAAGATGTTGAAGTGAATGGTTTCTCCATCAAACTCCATAGTTATCTTTTCTTTATGGACATCAATGATTGTGTGAGCGGTATGCATGAAAGGTCTTCCAAGGAGGATCATAGATGATTTGGAAGGAGTCTTATCTTCAAGATCACTGACATAAAAATCCTCCAGAAAAACAAGTTGATTAACTTGTACTAACACATCCTCCAACACTCCTCTTGGAGACACCCTTGACTTGTCCGCTAATTGAATGATGACTCCCTTTTATTCCAAAGGTCCAACATTGAGAGATTGAAAAACCGAATATGGCATCACATTGATCGAGGCTCCAAGATCTAACATAGCACTTTTGACATGCAAATCACCAATGGTACAAGGGATAGCAAATATTCCCGGATCCTTGCATTTGGGAGGTAACTTGTAATATACACGTTCTGAAATTTGTGTATTGTTATTATTAAAAGTGAATAAAATTGAGTGTTGAGTTCTAACAACTAGTTTTTACTAGAAATGAAGTAAAACTATGTTTAGAATCACTCATAAAATATTGGAAGTCTTATGAGATTCCAATTAATAGTCATATAGTGAAATTTAGTAAAAATATAAAATTTTAAATAATTAAGATTTTATTATTTGATGTTGTAGAGAATCTCGTTAAAAACTTGTAGGCGAAAACCTCGTCAAAATCCAAGTTATAACGAAGAAGTTATGACAAACCGTAGATCCGCGACAAAACCGGCATAGCGCCGAATGACGTAAAAAGTGAGTTTTTAATAAACTACTTTTTAGCCTTAGTAATCTAAATGAAAGTTGTAGTATTCGTTAAACCGAGAAATTCGATAAAAAGAACGCCAAAATCTGACTTCGTATGAGGAAGTTATGATTTTTCGAAGTTTCAACTTAGCAGTAGACAGCTAAAAACTCGAATTTTAGATCGAGCGATATTTTACCGATACATCCTAAATGATAATCGAAGGTCTCGTCATATGTAGTACAACGGTAAAAAGTCTGACGAAAACGGATGTCGGATGAAAAAGTTATGATTTTTTAACGGATTTTCTTATCCCGGTCTGTTAAAAATAATAATATAAAAATTAAAGTCAAAATTAGCCAACGAAGTCTAAACGAAAGTTGTAGAACGTAATTTTAGCTACGCGTGCATATAAATAACGTCAAAAACGGAGCTCCTATGCGAAAGTATTGGATTTTAGAAGTTCGGGGCCCGAAAACCGAGAAAACTCGCATGAACAGTACCGGCCACGTCACCTTCGCACGAAGCAGCAACGTCACTGGAGACGTGGCCAAATCCAAAGTCAACAAGTGTCACAAGAAGATTCGCCGAGGCCCAGGTCCAGCAGGAAGGGGACACGTCTCGCATCGGTGGTCAGTCCGACGCGAGACACGTCTCGCCTACCCGCTTCGCACCCGGTGCCACGTTCGAGCCTCGCAGTGGCCTCGTGGCCTTCGCTCCTCCTTCCAGATGTCTGAAGCTCGCAGGTGCACGTCTTCTCCCCTCCTCTCGTTTCGTGGCCTTCACTCCAGCAGCCACGTGCTCGCTTCTTAACCACAGGATCCGAGCCTCTCGCCTATAAATAGGAGACCTGCGAGCCTTCTCGGGTAATTTTGAGAAATTGCCATTTTTGGCCCCTTTTTCCATATTTTCACTATTTTGACTTTTCCCGAAGCCCTGGTATCAATTTTAGCACCCGAAGCACGTCCCGAGACCCCCGAGAAGCCCGAAAATTTTATCTTTTCGGTTTTGAAGCCCTACCTTCGCAGAGCCTGGTTTTCAATTAAGCTCCCGGTTTTCAACATAGAAAGACAAATTTAAAGCCGAAATGTTGTCCAAATTACTATTTTAACCCCCAGTTACTTAAGGTGAGTTTCAACATATAGGAACAATTGTATGTTATGTGTTATATGT